CGGTCTCTCTCTCCCCTCCCCCCGCACTGAAGCAAGGCAGTTTGCAGAGTGTTCCCTGCGCGTGTGCAGGGGACGCTCTTTTACTTTTGGGGGGATTTAAATATCCCCCCGATATTTTTTTAGAATTTTCAGATTTTTGAGCACACCTGGGGACTGTCCCAGGTGTGCACGAAAATCTCCCTCCCCCCCCAGGTGCCCCCGATGCGCGGATTTAGGTATCCGCACGCACGGGGGCGACTTCAGTATTAGTATATAGATGTTAGTACAATAAGTGTTAGTATCACAATATACTTGTAGAGTTCTTGCTTATAACAGTTCGCCATTTATATGTTATTTTATTAGTTGTTATGAGGGAAATCTCTGATCATCTTGTTATTCTTCAAAAGGCCATTTTCCAAGTCCTTCTGCCTTTACTTCAGCTTTCTGTCTCTAAAATCGTATACAACTCTGGCAGGTCCTGCACCCTTTTCTGTAGTAGAGCCCTCCTCAGAGGTAGCAGAGTCACTAGACTTTGTTTCTTCTTCTTTGGACTCTTCCTCTGTTCCCAGCTGACGTCTCAGAAATTCTTTAGCTTTAAAAATGGAGTCTATCTTCTCTCTCCTGTCGTTGATCTTAAAGATGACACCTTCCAAAACCGCCCATCTGTACGATATCCCATTAGTTTGAAGGAAAGAAATTAAGTCCTTGTAATTTTTTCTCTTTTGTCTAATTTCAAATGGAATGTCCTTTAAAGTTTTAATGGTTACATTTCCCATTTTCAGCGGAGTTGCTGATGTTGCTTTTAAAATAGCATCTCTGGTTTTTCTTCTTGAGAACCTGACCACTATTTCTCCAGGCAGGCTAATTTTTTTTTTAATATAGTTGGAGTATGCCCTATAGGCTGACTCCATTTCATTTACAGGTCCATTCGCTGTTAAGCCTACTACTGGATCGATGAGCTCGCTGAGTATCTTCTTCAGATCCTCCCGCTCCGTTTCAGCAACTCCCTGGAACCTGAGAATCTGAGAGAACTTTGTGACTGAACCAAGGTCACACCAGCAGCTGCATGTGGAGAAGTGGTTGAATAAAAAGGGCAGGAATTTTTATGGAGGAGGGAAGGGTGGCGCAAATAGACCAGGAATAATAATCCACAGCTCTTAAGCAAGGACTTATGGATAAGTGGGCAGTTTTGCCAGTAGTTAACATAACGTCCCTGCTGCTGAGGAGTACGGTGCCTTAGGTGATAGTGGGGTGGATCCAGCCAGCTTTCCGACTCAGTCTTGCCCAGCTCTTCCCCCACCACCACCCGTCCATCTCACATGGCTTTTGTCCATGAAGGTCCCATGATCCTATTCATAACCCTCCTGGGTGGTTAAAGGGACTCTTTCCTCCCTTTCGTATCAGAAAAGCTGGTTGGATCCCATCCATTACAGAAGGATACATTTACCCCAAATCCAGTACAGCTCCATCAGATAGTTCAGGCTAAATTGGGAGGACTTGGGCGTATCCTGACCAATGCTCCCTCTAAGCTGTGGAGTCTTGCGAGCAAAAACTCTACTCTGTGAGCTCCTGGCTTTAGAATTGTGAGTGAGCAATTTGGCCACTGCATAAATTAGCTTGTCCTGGAGCTATCCTTCCTGAGCTAAGATAAGAATATGTGAGCCGGAGGCTAAAAAAGTGGGAGCTAGCTCACACTGACTCAGCTTAGAGGGAACACTGATGACGACCGATGCTGGGTTTGGTTTAATGAGGCCCCACAGCTCTTGTCCTGTACACTTTGTAGAAACTGTGGCGCTCTTTTTTTTTTGCCGTTAACCCCACTAGGGTTTTCAAGGGAAGAGACGTTCAGAGGTATTTTTGCCGTTGCCTGCCTCTGCATAGCAACCCTGGACTTCCTTGGTGGCCTCGCATCCAAGTAGTAACCGGGGCTGACCCTGCTTAGTTTATGAGATCTGACAAGATTGGGCTCGCCTGGGCCATCCAGGTTAGAGCAGGGGAGCAGAGGTGGTTTTCCATTGTCTGCCTCTGCGTAGCAACCCTGGACTTCCTTGGTGGCCTCCCATCCAAGTACTAACCGAGCACAGTCCTGCTTAATTTCCAAAACGTGACGAAATCGGGCTAGCCGGGGCCATCCAGGTCAGGGGTAGGGGTGCAGAGGTGGTTTTCCAATGCCTGCCTCTGCGTAGCAACCCTGGACTTCCCTGGTGGCCTCCCATCCAAGTCCTAACCAAAGCCAACCGTGGTTAGCTTCCAAGACCTGATGAGAGCAAGCTAGCCTGGGCCATCCAGGTCAGGGCTTCTGTGCACTTCTGTAGAAACTGCAGCCCTCGGTTCCGACCATCCCAGACATTTCATTCTGTCGATATTGCAGACGGTTCAACAGCGGGGTGCAGCGGTGATTAAGGCCAGGAAGCTGTCGAGCGCCATGTCAGCAGCCAAAGCCATCTGTGATCACGTGCGGGACATCTGGTTTGGCACTCCGGAGGTAAGCGTTGCCGCGGACTAGAAAGTCGCCGACTTTGCAGTGGCTGTTCTTTATGCCGGGCATCGTCAGTTGATGGACACTTCCACAAACTCTTTGAGGGACACAAATGTGATAAGAGTAACAACTTGTGTAGATAACTTGTGTTCAGTTTTGGGCACCACAATTTAAGAAGGATGTAGACAAGCCGGAAAGTGTCCAGAGGAGGGCGACGAAGATGGGGGAGGGTCTGGAGACCAAGTCCTGTGAGGAAAGGTTGAAGGAGCTGGGTATGTTTAACTTGGAGAGGAGACGACTGAGAGGTGATATGAGAACCATCTTCAAGTACTCAAAGGGCTGTCCGATGGAGGATGGTGTGGAGTTGTTTTCTGTGGCCCCAGGAGGTCGGACCAGAACCAACGGGCTGAAATTAGAAGAGTTTTCAGCTAAATATTAGGAAGAACTTCCTGACAGAGTGGTTCCTCGGTAGAACTGGCTTCCTTGGGAGGTGGTAGGCTCTCCTTCTTTGGAGGTTTTCAAACAGAGTCTCAATGGCCATCTGACAGCAATGCAGATCCTGTGAACTTGGGCAGATCACGAGAGGGAGGGCAGGGAGGGTTGCCTCAGTGCTTAGTTCTTGTGGCCCTTTCTTACACGCCCAGGGAAATGCTGATTGCCACTTTGAGGTCAGGAAGCCATTTTTCTTCAGACCAGTTTGGCCGGGGATCCTGGAGGGTTTTTGTCATCTTCTGGAGATCGAGCAGGGGTCACTGGGTGTGTGCAGGGGGGGTATTTGTGAATTTCCTGCACTGTGCAGGGGGTTGCACAGGAAGTGGTGGCGGCTACAAGCATGGACGGCTTCAAAAGGGAATTGGATAAGCATATGGAGCAGAGGTCCATCAGTGGCTGTTAGCCACAAGGGATAGATAGGGGCTCTGGGACAAGTGATGCTCTGTCACCTTGGTGCTTGGGGGGGGGGGTCAACAGTGGGAGGGCTTCTAATGTCCTGGCCCCACTGCTGGACCTCCTGATGGCACCTGGTATTTCTGGCCACTGTGGGATACAGAGTGTTGGACTGGATGGGCCTTTGGCCTGATCCAACATTGGCGTCTCTTATGTTCTTATGACCCTGGAGGTCCCTTCCAACTCTATGATTCTATACTTGCCCCTGACAAAGGGAGCGTCGGCTCTCGAAAGCTCATACCCTGAAACTCCTGTTGGTCTCTAAGGCGCTATTGGGCTCAAATCTGACTTGATCTTCCGTTGACGTACTAAACACAGCAAGGTGTACAAACCGAAGCCATTCTTTCTTCCCTTTGAAGGGTGAATTTGTGTCCATGGGAGTCATTTCTGACGGGAATTCGTACGGTGTCCCCGAAGATCTGATCTACTCCTTTCCCGTTGTCATCAAGGTAGGCACGGAACGCGCGGTCTCTGGAACGCCAGTTAAGTAGGCGGAGTGCTGTCAGTTCAGATTCGTCGATTTCTTTTTGTTATTGATGTCATGCAAAGTGTCTGGTATCTTCCTGGTTTAGGAAATGTTCCTAACTTGAACTCCTCTACCGGTTTATCCACCACATCATTCAGTGCCTATAAATCTGCCAAAGTGTAGGCTGAACCCCCAGCGGTCACTTCACACCAGCAGGGTATAACGGACCACCCCTAACGAACAATAAAGCATTATTACATGGAGAGGGGCCGTGGCAAAGAACAGAGAAGAAGAGATTGGGTTTAAACCCAAGGGGCAACAGGGAGAAGTGGGCAGGGGGACGCTGGAGGCACCAGGTGCTGCTCAGACGCGGCGGCGCGAACAACGAGGGCAGGGAGGGACGCCGAGGCAGGAGGACCTCCGAAGTCCACAGAGCTGAAGGGGGCCCAGGAGAGACGCCGAGGCAGCCCAGTGCCAACGGATGGCTGGCCGAGGGCAGGCCCAGAAGCGGCAAGACATTGATGCGCTCAGCACAGCCGCCAAGCCCACGCCAAGAGCTGAATGGGGGCAAGGGAAGGCCGGGCGCACTCGCCCTGTGGGGAGAAGCAGACTTTGGCTGCCTATCGGCCAGGTGGTTGATTAGGGTGATGTCGGTGTCTGGAGGATGGGGGGGGGCTGTAATTAGAGAGCCAGTTTGGCGGAGTGGTTAAGGGCGCGGACTCTAATCTGGGAGAACCGGGTTTGATTCCCCACTCCTCCACTCGCAGCTGCTGGATGATCTTGGGCAAGGCATAGTTCTGATAAGAGCTGTTCTTGAAAAAGAGTGTAGAGCCAGTTTGGTGTAGTGATTAAGTGCACGGACTCTAATCTGGGAGAACCGGGTTTGATTGGATTTATACCCCGCCCTTCACTTGGAGTCTCAGAGCGGCTTACAAACTCCTTTCCCTTCCCCTCCCCACAGCAGACACCCCGTGAGGTGGGTGGGGCTGAGAGAGCTCTGACAGAAACTGCTCTTTTTCAAGGACAGCTGTGCCAGAGCTTGCGACTGACCCAAGGTCACATCAGCAGGTGCAAGTGGAGGAGTGGGGGCATCAAACCCGGTTCTCCCAGATTAGAGTCCGCACACTTAACCACTACACCAAACTGGCTCTCTGAGACAAACTGACAAACTGAGACACAACCCCTCCCCAAACCGGTTAGAGTTGAAGCAGTTTGAGTCGAAGCGGTGTGCTCTTTATCTAGTCTCGCTTGTACACGTTCATTGTTTGGAGAACTCGTTAATCCGTCGAGCTGTCTCTACCTACGCTACAGCGTCGCAGCGTTTAACATGATCTTCCCCACGATATTCTCAAACAGAACAAAACGTGGAAGTTTGTCGAGGGCCTTCCCATCAACGACTTCTCTCGTGACAAGATGGACTTGACTGCCAAGGAGCTGACGGAGGAGAAGGAGATGGCCGTGGACTGTCTGTCCAGCGCATGACTAGGTGCTCGCCGGGAGGCGGGAGGCGACTCGAGCCCCGAGGAGTCAAAGAGTCGTCTCTGAAGCCAGCACCAAAGGCTATTACCGTTGTCGGCCGGCTGTGTTTTTTTTCCCCTTGTGTCCGATCCATTCACTGTAAAAGGTTATTCGTGCCTGTTATCGAGTGCTCTTAGTAAATACATGATTGCACAAGCAGTTCTTTAAAAAAAAAGAAGATAGTAGTTTTCAGACCTGACCAAATCTTCTCCGCTTAGTACCGTTTGTTTCAGGTGTCGCATAGTTGCAGCAGACTTCTTTCGCCACAGCGGCTGAAAAGGTGAGCCGTCTTTCAGCGTGAATGAAACCAAAGCCGTCCGCACAAAACACGAGAGGCGATTGGTATAGAAGGGGCTTTAGTACTGTATTAATCAAAATTTAAAAAATTGGTTGTACCAGTAGACTTTCTCTGAATGAAAAATGGAGCACTGGGGTTTTCTTCTGCTGATAAAACCGAAGTTGGAAATGTAGTCTGGGATACGACAAATGTGTATGCAACAGCCATCAGGGAAGTCTTCCCTAGAAATGACATTAAATGTTGAATTAAGCACTTCTTTCCCCTCCGTGTCAACGTTCTGTTAACTTGCTTCATTCGCTTTCAGTAAGGTGTGTAAAGCAAAAATCCTCACCAGACAACCGATTACATGAAGTTATGAAATAAAAGCAATACTGGACCCAAAATGGCCTGAAGACTCATAACTATATAGGGGGAGGAAATGAAATCTCCCTTCCCCCAACAGCAATCCCGAATAGATTGTGATTAAATATTTACCCGGGTGTAAAGATGACAGCAAGGAATGTTTATTTAGTTACCTGACTTACGTCCCACCTGTCTCCCCAAAACGGCATACTTCATTCTCCTCCATTTAATTCTCACAACAACCCTGTGAGGCAGGTCAGGCTGAGAGTCTGTGACTGGCCTGAGTTCACCCAGACATGACTCCATGACAGAGTGGAGATTTGAACCTTGGTTTCCCAGACCCTAGTCTGATCCTGTAACCACTAAACCAGGGGTGTCAAATGTGTGGGCCACGGGCCGGGTGCGGCCCACGCAGGGCCCAGAACGGAACCCCCAAGCAACTTCCTTCTGCTTCCTTTTCCAGGGCTGCTACTGCAGTCACACCCTAGCTTGCTTTTTTCTCAGCTCCCTCAGTGGCTCTTGGCTTCCTGTTTCCCGCCTCTTGCCTCCCTCCCCCCTCCCTTGCTCTCTCTCTTGCACACAGAGAGAGAGAGAACTTTGTGCTGGAGAGATACAGAAACAAGCCTCTCTCACACACAGAGAGAGTGCTTCTATTTTTATTGTTTATTTATTTTATTGGGTTTCTATCCGAAGAGTCGGACTCGACTGTGCAACTGAACAACATCCCGCCCTCCCCACAAACGGGCTCAAGGCGGCTTACATTTAAAGGCACTGTGTGCCAAAATATATTAAACATAAAACCAGATAAAAACAAGATAATCATATTATTTCAATTAAAGTGCTTGGCATAGAATTGATCTTCCAATCACGTTAAAGATGGCATCCTGTAGATGGACACAAGTCCCAGTTCGGGCGCATCTGTCTCGTACGTTACTGTAGTTCAATCTCCGTATAGGGCCAACCAACCACCCCGGTTGTACTAACAATAATAGTTGGTGGTAGTGGTGGGCGGCTCCTAGTTAAAAGCCTGGTGGAAGAGCTCCGTTTTGCAGGCTCTGCGGAACTGTACAAGGTCCCGCAGGGACCTTGATCTCCGGGAGCTCGTTCCACCAGGTAGGAGCCGCCACCTAAAAGGCCCTAGCTCTGGTAGCGGTGAGCCTGCCCTTTTTGGGGCCTGGAATCACTAGCCAGTGTTGTGCCCCAGACCATAGTGCTCACTGGGGTATGTTTGGGGAAAGGCAGTCCCTCAGGTATGTCGGACCCTGGTTATAAAGGGCTTTAAAGGTAAGTACCAGCACCTTGAAGTGGATTCGGTATGCTATTGGCAGCCAGTGCAGTGCATTCAGCACAGGCTGGATGTGTTCCTATCTAGGGATACCCATCAAAAGCCTGGCCGCTGCATTCTGCACTAGCTGCAGCTTCCGGATTTGCGACAAGCACAGCCCCATGTAGAGAGCTTCTGCTTCCTTCTCCGTTGGGAGGGTGGATGGATTCTTCTGACAAGCACAATGTACATTGAGGAAATTATTTTGGCTTATTCTGAAAAGTTGGGTTTTTTGCATTTCTCTGTTCCTGTCTGAATTTATTTTCTTTCAGAAAGACCCTGATTAGGAATTAGAACACTTGGATTGGTCCTTATATCTTGCAGAGTGGAGTGATTTCAGATGCCAAATGATACTAGCACACATTGGTCATGAGACAGGAAACCTAGCTCTCGATTCAGTCCAGGAGGATGCATTGTCTTGAGCTCCATTATCGATTGCAATTCAGCAGTCCTTCTTTCTAATTTCCCTTTGAAATTCCTTTGTAAGAGCCCTGTTACTCTTAGGTCAGCAACTGAATGTTGTGGTTTCTGATGTCAGACTTGTGTCCACGTATTCTTTGCATCCTCCTGGACGGAACTGAGACCTAGGTTTCCCATCTGATTACCAACATTGGTATCTCCACGCCAACTACCCTTTTGCCTGTCACACCTATTCCAATCAAGCCTGCTATTGTCATTCACTTGCCATTTGACATCTGAAATCACCTTTATAAAGTCTATATCTTCGGTACCTCGTGTCACATTTTATAGCACGCATGGCCAGGCCCAAGTAACATTTATGTCAGATCCGGCCCTCATAACAAATGAGTTCGACACCTCGGCATTACACCACTCTGTCTCTCAGTAAACCAAGTAGTTTAGACTGATTAGTGTTTTCTCATCTCTAACTGGATGTCCTGGACCAGTTGCATTCTGGGCAGTGTTCCCTCTAAGCTGAGTTAGTGTGAGCTAGCTCAGTTTTTTAGCCTCCAGCTCACACATTTTTGTCTTAGCTCAGGAAGGATGGCACACATTTGCTTGACCCCTGGTACAGGAGACGAAACACCCCACTGCTGAGGCTTGTAGGAGGCAGAGTTTTGTTATCCATCCACCTCCAATTATATCCATGTTTGCAGTCTGATTGCTTCATCCTGGGGCTGGAGTAACTCCGCCACTCACTTCTCAGGGAAGAAAAAGCACTATTCACTTACATGAAGAAGAAGAAAAGATTGGCTTTATACCCCGTCCTTCACTCGGAGTCTCAGAGCAGCTTACAAACTCCTTTCCCTTCCCCTCCTCACAACAGACACCCTATGAGGTAGGTAGGGCTGAGACAGCTCTTCCCAGAACTGTCCTTGAGAGAACAGCTCTGAGAGAACTATGACTTGCCCAAGGTCATCCAGCAGCTGCAAGTGGAGGAGTGGGGAATCAAACCCGGTTCTCCAGGATTAGAGTCCGTGCACTTAACCACTACACCAAACTGGCTCTTGTGAGAAAAAACATTGATCTTGAGAGTGTACCATGCAGGCCGAAGATGATCCTGACACTGTGACCCTAAGGTAGATGGCAAGTTTTCACCTTGCTCAAATGGTTCCCAGTTTCCCACATTTATTTATTTCCGTTTGTATCCCGCCCTACCCACTAAGCGGGCTTAGGGCGGCTTACAACACTCCGTAAAACGATCATTAACCATTCAGCAATAAATAATAAAACAAAATCAACAGTTGCCGTTAAAATGCCTGACGGCAGCTTAATACTTTCTAATTATAGTTCCTGCTGCACTAATGTTAGGAAGGGCACATTTCTCTCACAGAGACCCAAGTCAGCTGGTGCTGGAGCCCAAGTTGGTAAAGGCAGCGCCCGAAGGCAACGTGGGCAGATTAACCGAGTGAGGCAGGGAAGGCCGGTGTCATTTGGACATCCACTGCCTCAGCCAAAGGCCTGGCGGAACAGCTCCGTTTTGCAGGCCCTGCGGAATCGTAATAAATCCCACAGGGCCCTGATCTCAACTGGGAGCATGTTCCACCAGGCAGGGGCCAGGACTGGAAAGGCCCTGGCCCTGGTTGAGGCAAGGCAGATGTCCTTCGGGCCAGGGGCTGACAAACAGTGGAGAAGGCTGGTCTTGGGTTGATTGACGTCATCGATTTCTTACAAATATTAAGGCCAAACAATATGAAAATACAAAACATGAAAAATCATGATAAATCGCTATAACTATATAGACAGACTATACCACTATTTCCACATAATATTTTCATTATTTCCTATCTAGAAGGCTGTGAAGAAAAACATATGGGCAAGAAGAAAATACAAGTCTTTGTATATAGTTTAAACATAAAGACATAAATTGCAATAACTAGGGGGGGAAATAGAAGATAGCATTCCAGGCGCTTTTTGCTTTAACCTTCAGCAGTAGCCATTTCAAGTCTTCATTACATAATTCACTAGATTACATAAAACTATCCAAAACAGCCACAAGATCAAACAAAACAGCAATGGGTGTGCATTCAGCAAAATGTTCCCTGGCCTGTACTACAGGGGATGAATGGTCCCTTCCACATAAGAAAGAAAAATACCTTAGCACCATTTTTTGAGGTACAAGAGGTTTCTTATTTTCTTTACAGGAAACATTTAAACTTGGCAATACCCCTCTAATACATACACCCCCAGAACAAGAAGTGGTATTGTCTAGAAAAGGTTGTACCACATGATTTTGTCAAGCGGCTCTCAAGCACCCAGATATCAGAAACTCTGATGACAGCTGATTTTATAGAAAACCAAAAATATACTGAGGGTGAGTCAGAAAGCAACAAGAACTTTCAGCATACAGAAGTATTGGTTCCTTTTACAAAGCGCAGGGTGGGCCAAACGTCCATCCTGAGGGCAAAAAGTACTTAAAAATAAGGAACCTTGACTTTACTGAACTTTTTCCTTCTCGGTACTCAAGTTGTTAGGATTTCCAATTAGAGAATCTGGACCAATTAGTTCTCTAAGAATTATTCTTTTGAGCTATCTGGCCCCTTAATCTGATAGATCCCAGAGGTGCCTGGGCCAGATAAATCAAAAAGAACAATAATTAGATAACTAATTGGTCCAGATTCTCTAACTCAGGGGTCCCCGATGTGTTGCTCATGGGTGGCATGGTACCCACTGACACGTTTCCTTGTGCTCACCAAGTGTTTCAAGAAATTGAACAGGGCCAGGTGGGGCTTTTACCCTGCAAGGTTACTTACTGGCCATTGGGAGTTTTGGTTGGCTGTACAGATTTTTTAAACTATTGCTTTGGCAGCAGCTGCCACCAGAGCACAAAGATCTTCACTGAGTGACTGAAGGTGAGCTGTGGCAGCCATGTTGTGGCTGGCTCTGCCTCTTTTGGCAGCCATTTTGTGGCTGGCTTTGCCTCTTTTTTTGGCGGCCATTTTGTAGCTGTGCCCACCACACTGTGTCCGAATTCCAAAGGTGCCTGCAGCCTCAAAAAGGTTGGGGACCCCTGCTGTGACTGGATGCAAGAGCATATTATCTCATCACAGGTGTTCTATACTGAGATTGAGACACCGTTTCTTAAACCGTGATTTATTTATTCAGCTCGTAACATAGCAACAAGACTCAGA